TCAGGAAAAAAGGGTCTCGCCCATTCCCCTCTGGTCCCCCCTGGTAAGTTTATAGACTGCCACTAGATCCCCTCTCAGCCTTCTCTTGTGAAGGCTGAACAGGTCCAGGTCCCTTAGCCTCTCCTCGTAGGGCCTGCCCTGCTGCCGCCTGATTATGCAAGTGGCCCTCCTCTGGACCCTCTTGATGCTGTCCACATCCCAGTATTTATTGTCCTGGCCCCAATAAATACTAATTAAAATAACTATCAAAGCTCTCCAAGCCAGAGCAGCCTCATTTGCCAAAACAAATATTAACCAAATACCAGGACGGTAAGAACATACCACAGAACTTGAACTATCACAATGCTGTGTAGGGTGAAAGACTGATCAGTGTAATCCAAATACCTGGGCAGACACAGTTCATCAGCAAACATCATCTAAACTAGGGTTTCTCAACCTCTGGCCCACAGGCCAGATCCAGCCCATAGCACCATGTCATCCCACCCACAGGATTCCCCATGGGTCCAGAATTTGAAAGTGGAGGGGGTGATACCACCACTCCTGCTATCAAATATTTGCACCCATGGGGAGCCCTGGGCCTAGCGCACTGGATCCAGTCCCAGTACGCAGGACTGGACAGGAGTTGTGGCAGGCCCCAGGGTCCAATTTTTGTCGGGGCCCCAGGGCCCAATCCAGGCCCCAGGATCCAATCCTAATGTACAGGGGGAGAGAGGGAGCACCTGGGACCTAATCCTGGCAAGTAGGGAGGGGGCAGCAGCGCTGGTCCCAAAAGCCACTCATCAGGCCCATGGGGCAAAAGGTTGTGCACCACTGATCTAGACCATTAGGGTTTTAAAGATTAACATCAGCATTTTGAATTGTATTCAAAGTGAGCTGGAACTCAGTGTAGAGGGTTGACCATAAGTTTTACATTATTTATGTGTCAGACTCCAAAAGTACACAACTGTGCTTTTGACAGCAACTTCTAGATTAATTTCAGAGATATGGTTTCATAGTTAGTAGGGCCGCAAGGGACCTGAGCAGATCATCAAGTCTGATCCCCTGCCATGGCAGGAAAGAGTACTGGGGTCAAACAACTCCAGCAAAGTGATTGTCTAGCCTTGTTTTAAAGACCCCCAGGGTAGGAGCCAGCACCACTTCGCTTGGAAGTTGGTTCCAGACCCTAGCCGCCCTGACAGTGAAGTAGCGCCTCCTGATGTCTAACCTGAATTTACCCTCTGCCAGCTTGTGACTGTTATTTCTAAAGAAGAAAGTGTTACACTAGGTTAGCTGAGACATAACAAAAGTATTTATTCCAAGGTTCTCGCTAGAGAGGTGTAAATAGCCATAGATGCGCCAACACTGATAGTTTAATTTCACAGTAGTATTGAATTCTATAAAGACTTCAAGGTTGTGAAATATTCTGCACACATGGAAAGTAGCATACTGCAATAAAGGATATATAGGCTCTCTTCACATATTTCTTCTGTCCAACAGAAATCATATTTGTTTTATCTAGAAAGAGTCTCATCCAACTACCTTTCATATAAATCACTATTTTAATCACACACCATAAACGTTAATTAGTCCTTTAAGCTCTTTTAGTTTGAGTCAACAAGGAGATAAGTATCACTAGTAACATTGCTGAAGTCTCCCCTAGTTTTGTTAATGTACTCTTTGAAAAAATTAACTAAAAGAATTGGGCTCAACACGCAAACATTTGCCATGTATGTGCCCAATGCCACTTTAAGACCTTTTAGAGGGACTGTACCTCCACTGAGGAATTAGTACTTTCACTGCAACTAGATCTATGCTTCCAGTGTTGATGTGTGCATAACCCAGAGGCTGTGATCTTTTCACAGTTCCCCAGTTCAATAGTAATTTGTTATTAAGGTTCTCCTTAGAACAAATAATAAACAAGACCTGAAGAAAATTTAAAAAAAAAGAAAATAATAAGAAAACAGAGGGGAAAAGAACTGTTTTTGTTTAGCTACTTCTCTTTTTCAGGAGATGCATTTAAACTGCCCGAGATCAACTTCTTATGAGCCAGAGTTTGGCCATCCCTGATAATATGATGAAGCTGTAGTAAATATCTTGTTTTTATTTACTTGTTTTCTAGGTATAAAACCATAGCCTTGGATGCCTGGCATGTAGAAATAACCCACAATAAAATTACTAAAATTAACAAGAGTGCTTTGTATTTCTGTGGGTTTCCTACTTTAAAGCACATTAAACATAAGGTAAATGATTACTTTGGAATTTTCCCCCATCTAGTTTACAGATTATTAGGAAACAATTCAAGGATGTTCTTTCTCTTATCTAGTTCTACCTAAAAAAAAATGGCGTACAAGTTTTCCAGCAGAGCAGCCATGGAGAGAACATGATGTTAGACATTGTAATTGATGAGGATTCAAAAGAGCCGGTGAGTATCTAGCTTGTTAAAGACTGTCTTTGTCTTAGGTACTACTCTTTCCCCAGCGGGATCAATGAATTGTTTCATTTACCTTACTCTTACCTAAGAGATCTTGAAGGAAAGATAGGAAGAAATCAAGAGAGGTGGGATTACCTTTGTAGAGTAGCAAAATTTATAGGAAGAGGAGAAATTGAAGGGCAAGTAGCTGAGAAAGCAAAATAAGAACAGAGAAACCTCAAAAAAAAAAGAGGAAAAAATGGGTAACGTGGGTCTCCATAGGAAATCAACAAAAGTATATCGAGGAACATGGTAGCAAATAATGCAAAGCAAGTATAATTAATAGAAAAAAAAGGTAGGGATTTTTGGGAAGGTACAGGTGCCCCAGACTGTAGCATAATTGGAAATAAATCCAGTCTTCTAGCTCTGCATATTATTCCTTATGTGCTGGGCCACAGCTGAAATCTAGTTACTTCTCACTATATAATTCTTTACTTTTTTTTCAGAAGATTAACTATATTTGTTATCTATCAAAACAAATTGGATGTACCAAAATCTCTTACAGTTCTCACTGTATCACAAAATAAGATGCTGCCATTTTAAAATCAGAATTATTTTTATTGCAGCAAATAGCTTGCAGATATATATATATATATATATTTTTTTTTTTTTTAATGTTCTGTAGATTTATTGTGCACTAATTTTAATTTGGTGGATAAAATAACAGCTTCTTTCTGTTTCAGACTGTAGAAAATGTGGCCAGTTTGGTGCTTGGAAAGTCGGTCTTCGTTAACTGGCCTCACCTTGAAGAAGCCAGAGTTGTAGTTGTGTCAGATGGAGAAACGAAGTAAGGAAAATAGGCTGCTTGCTTTATTTATCGGCTCTATTAAGGCTCTGTAGATCTGTGACAAGGCACTCAGCCTGTTTTCTGCTGTCCTTTGCCTCTCAGAGTTACCTGCTCACAACCTCTTGGCCTTTGCCTCCTATTTCACTCGCCACATCTTGGTCTTGCTAAGTCAGGGGTGGGCAGTTATTTCCAGTGGAGGGCCGTTTACTGAGTTTTGGCAAGCCATCGAGGGCTGCATACCAGGCAGCCAGGGGCAGATAGATATTAATTTTTTAAATTTTTAGGGGACCTCTGGGCCAAATAGAATGACCTGGTGGGCAGCATTTGGCCCACGGGCCACGTTTTGCCCACCCCTGTTCTAAGTTGTAAGACTGGTATCAGGGATGGAGGAGCCTGCTGATGGTGTATCATCTTCTCTGTGGCTCTCAGAGAAATGCCTCTAACCTTACTGCAGTTTGGCCCTCTAGTCTTTGTCCGTTTAGTCAGAGTCTTGGCCTCCCCAGCCTTGACCCCTTTTTCCTCTGTGGCTGGGCACCCTAACTTGGGTCCACAGTTCTGGCTTCCAGCCCAACACTCTTGCTACCTGCTCTCAACCCCAGAGCCAGGCTTACTGCACCTAGTCTCCTTCTCTGGCCAGGCAGGGGTAGGATCCACTATTGTCTGTGGGCATCTCGTAACTTCCTTCTCCCCTTTATAGTCACTCCTGTACTGCCAGATAAGGTTTATCAGAAACAAAAAGGAAAAGTTAAGTGTCTGCTTAACAGAATTCCTTCCCCCTTCAGCACCACGCAATACAAAAAACCTGCAGGAACCCAGAAATAATACCTTTTCTGATCATGTTATCTCTCTGAGTATTCAGACTTTATCAGTATGCTCCCACTCCCCACCAGGTAGTCTCTCTCTGGTTCTCCTCATCTGGATCAGTGCTCTGGCTTCTGAAGCCAGGAGTTATAGCACCCCTCTCCTTCCTCAGCCAATGCTGCCTTTCACCCTGTAAAAATACTCTTCCCCTCTGGTTTGTGGGCTGGGACTTAAGTATGGGGAGGGGTGGGGGGAAGATGTTCTTTCTTTCTCTCCAGGCTTGCCTCTGAGACCACGTGTTGACAAACTACTAATCACTTAATTTACAAGCCATACTGTTGCTTGCTGCTCCTTCCTTAAAAGCAGTGGCCTTCAGTTCCCTAGCATGGGTCCCTCTTGTGTGTGCACACGCTCTCACTCTCTCACCCCTCTGACACCTGCCCTTCCAAATCTGTCTCTCACCTGTGTTCAGCAACAGAGTAAGGGTCCCCTGTTACAAAGTCAAACATTAGTCATATCTGTTTTGTCCAGGTTCACTTACAGCAGCAGTCCCCACAGCCTTTTTAAGCTGTGGGCTGAAATGACCCAGTTTGAGTCAGAGTTGAGTAGGAGGGTGCTAGAGCCTAACTACTGCTGCTGCTTTTCTTCATGGCAGCACGAAGAAAGTAACCAGCACTGCTGCTGCTTACAACAGCAACCGCTACAGAAGCCCTACATCTGCAGGCCAGATCAAGCAGCTCCATAGGCCAGATTTGGCTTGTTGCCATAGTTTGCCAACCCCTGACTTACAGTAAATTACTTATCTAAAAATGGTCATGGTGTCTCAGATAATAGTGCAGAGTGAGTGATGTTGAGCAGGACTTTTGGGGTTGGTCATAAGTGTAAAAGAACCAGACCTCCAGTGTTTTTCTCAGGATACAGGGGAAGAACTACATTTTTTTAAATGGATTTCTTTTCTCTCTCTGCCTGTCTCTCTCTGCCTCTGTCTCTTTCACCCCTCCCTGCCCCGCCCCCAATTTTTTCTACTACTGGAGGAAAAATAACTACTATCTGAAGTGCATGTGAACCTTGTTTGGCTAAATGCATGCATATCATATGCTCTTCAAGGTTTTATTTGGAAGAAACACATGGAACACAGAAGCTTTACCTGGGAAATGCTGTGCCACCAACTAAAGTGGCATATGTTGGAGACAAAGAACAGAACGTCTGGTTAAAAGAAGTTCAAGGGATTACAGAACAGTGAGTAACTAGGAATTTAAAGTTTGTAACTTAAAGTGGTCTCTATATTTTACTTCATGGATTCAGTGAGATTAGTTCTGATGCACAAATGATGATGAAGGATGCTAAACTGGTTAATGGCTGTTGGAACATGAGAATTAGGGGTAAAGCATGTGAGAGTGGCTTTTCATTTAGCTGTCCCACCACAAATTTAACTTTGTAAAATGATAAGTGTTATGCATAAGTTTGATTTTTATTTATTTATGTATTACTGTATTTATTTTTATCTGGCAACTGTCCTAGCTTATCATTTTCCAACATGTATTTGAAGGAATTTTGAGGAATCTATTCCTCTTCCTTTAGTGGCAGCAATTTTCAGAAACTCACTGTTTTTGCTCTGTTCCATCTTTGCTGCACTCTTGGACCCTCACTGTAGTCCTGCATATCTGGAGAAATGCATGCACTCAGGAGATTTTAGAGACAAGGAAAGGCTGAGCACAGTGAAAGATGAATGGACCTACAGCAGCTGAATTCACCAAAGGGTTTATTGAATGTACAGATTGCTTGCTGTAATTTTTGGAAAGAAGTGTGGGTAAAGCCATAATACCCATTATTCTCATACTACCATGAGAAATTTTGGAGTACAGTTGCTCCCTATAGAGAATGCTCATTGGATATCCTTGTCTATTGGATGTGGTTCAAATACCCAAGCAACAGCAAGATGCTTAGTCATATACTAAAATGCAGCGTAGATCAGTGCATTGATACTGTTGGACCTCATAACTTAAAATGTTTTCTTTTAGCAGAGCCCCATATTCTGGGATAAGTATACAATAATTATGGATTGCACATTATGGAGTCATATTATGCCTAAATAAACACCTTATTTTGTAGCTTCAGGTTGTTAAATCTGTATATACTCTTGTTTTATAAAGCAGGTAACGCATTATCAGTTAAATAGTCACACTGTTAATTTTTTTTTTTTTAAACTTTTATTTTAGTTCAAAAGAGTTCCAATCAAGGTCATATTCATTTTTTTACTGTGTAATTTAGTTCCTTGTATTTTAATCCAAAGTGAATTATTTCTTTTTTTTCCTCAGCTACCAGAGAAGAAAAGGAATAATTGTAAATGAAACCTCAGTAGTTGTGTATGCTCAACTACTCACTGGTCGTAGATATCAGCTAAATCAAAGTGGTGATGTTTATTTGGAAAAGCAGTGGTCAAAACAAGTTCTTCCTTTTGTTTACCAAACTGTTGTTAAGGTAAATATCACAAAAGTCTAATCTCTTCCTTTGCTTTCCAAAGGGAAGGAAACAACACACATTGTCTTAAAACAACAACATTAATGATAAATTTTAATTTTATTCTAATGTCAATAGAGCATCTTTTCAAATATTTAGAGTGCATATTGTCAAGCTCAAAACATTAATGTACTTAATGTTTCCTATAAGAAGGAAGTTGTGACCTAGATCTAAGACAATTTTGTCAGAAAAGCTGAGAACTTGTATATTTTACTTTGATTGGTATAATCTTTTATCAGTAACTTTTGAGTAAGATACACTGGTCATTTTCTACTTGGTGTAGCCTATTTGTGTGTGCAGCTTCACTTGCAGTATTTAATGTAGAGTTGATGTAAATGTTGTAGGTACTTACATTACTATAAAGGGAATAGTTTGTAATTTACTTGATAGTGGCCGTTATATATTTAAGAAGTAACATCTCTTTAATAGAACTGTAATGAACATACTGGGATTGGTAGCTACTCAGCTTTAATATAGTTTTCTTTTCTTATTGTTTCATATAGGATATCAAAGCTTTTGACTCCCACTTTTCCAACATTAAAACCTTGGATGACCTGTTTCCGCCTGGAAGTACAGTCTTTATGCTAGGATCACCTTATTATGGCTGCACAGGAGAAGTTAGTTCCAAATTCTTTGTTCTTGAAATATTTCTTTAGTTTCTGACCTATTAATATCAACAGTGACTCTCCGGTGCTACATGGCAGGATTTGGCTCTAAAGTTGGTTTAATTAGTCACGGTTGGATTATACGTACTTCAGGGAGTTTTGTGGTTTAGCTGGAGTAGTGATGCTCCTCTTCCTCATCTCACCCTGATGCTGGGCAGCAGGGCCATCCCTAGGGGGCACGTGCTTTGCAGAGCTGGGCGGAGCAGCAGCGGTGCGGAGCTGGGCGGAGCGGCAGCTCCACATCCAGCAGCTTGCTACCCCCACATGGGCTGATTTGCCCTGGGCCCCGCACCCTACTTGGGTCACGTCTGCTGGGCAGCCAGGTGGGGTGTGATTTAAAGCAGTCTATATCAATGATTCTTGACCAGAGTGGCATAAGCTCCTTTGAGGGGTGCCATGACACAGCCTCTGTGAGAGGAGGCAGGCACTAGCTTCTCCAAACACCAGGAACCATGCATCTGCCTCAGTTCTGGCAGCATTCATCATAATCAGCTCCAGGAACATGGGATGAGCAGGGGAATGAGCTGTACTAAAAATCACAATCCCTGTACCAGCCACCTTCAAGCAGCACATGTTGCCATGGACGGGCACATGCACGGCTGTGCTTTTTCAACTTGTCTCCTTCCCCTTCCCTGATGTTGCCAGAGCTCATAGGAGGGGCCTCAGGGAATGTCATGCTATTCAAGTCCCTGAAGGAGCAGCCACAGCAGCAGGGGCCATGTTCACTCCCTCAGGTACAGACTAGGGGCAGGAAGTTGGAAAGACCATAGAAAAAGCAGGGCATAGATGGGTCTTACCTGTGCCACCCTCACCTGGCACCAGCCTGTGCACCAGTGGCCACTGTTATTCCCTTCTGCATCCTGCAGAGATAACCGCCTCCCTCAGGGGTCTAATGACCAACCCCGAAGCTCCTTGATCTGCCCTGCCTAGCAACCCTTTCCACTCCAAATACTGAATCATCCCCTTCCATACTATCCTGACAACCTTTTAAGGATGCTGTAGGGCATGGGGAGATGAACACTGTAAGAAATAAAATAGTCTTTCTTGAAATGGCATGTCACTAGATTCTGAAAAGTTATTGAGGGGAACCTTGAATGTTAAAAGGCTGAGAACCATCAGGCTGGTGTAGTCAGCCTTTTGTGTGGGGGGAGGGTTGTTTATAGTCACTCGCCCTTCTAACTTATTAGAATGGGGCCAACCCTGTAAGGAAGCTGTACCAGGATCTGAGGAGGGCAGATATGAGATCTAAGGTTCTACCTCCTCCACTTGGATCTCTGCTCTGTAGAGAAGAACCTCCACCTTGGGACCTGGTTCCAAAATTTGGTTTTGGTTTTTTTGTTTGTTTGGGGTTTTTTTACATTAATCTTACCCAGTTAAGCAGAGTCATGTTTGGGCTGTTCTTTCCCCCAAACATATTTTGTTTTTCTCAAGGTTCAGGATTCATGTGATGTGATCACAGAAGGTAGAATTCGTGTTGTTTTCAGCATTCCATGTGAACCACAGCTTGATACTTTAATACAGAATCAGCATGTGAGTACTTCTGTTTTTCATTAAATACCGTTACGTAGTGGACTATTTTTTCAATGGAAAATGTTCTGTACTGTTATTTCCCGATTACATGCCTTCTGTGCAGCCATTCGTGTCTGGGAAAATACTGGTAATGTTTTGTTCCTGGGGGTTCTCTTAATATTAATACTGTAATGAAAGGCTGAACACAAGATTTGTTTAGAAACAGTGAAATACATTCTGAGCATACAAATCCATATCGACTTTCCACAGTTTTCTTCCTCTGTGGGATGGCCGGGTGCTGCTAAAATCTGGTTTTTGCTTGTGCTACAGTTAAGTGTCTTGGTATCAATTTGCCACTTCCTAGCGGTGAGGAATTAGTCTCACTGTGAGCTTGTAACTACTTTACTCAAATTGTTTCCTTAGACACTTTCACTTCTGGTTGTTGTTAGCATTTTACATTGTACTCTTTGAAGCTATGATTGGTTTGGAAACTAGTTAACTCGGATCAAGTCATTACAGTAGCCGAGGCCAGCTGGGGGAGGCTCTTGCAAGATGTCAGTCCCTGAATGTAAGAAGATTATGGCAAGATAGCAGGGTTTATTCAGTTGATGGCACTTTGCCTTTGGAACTAGTTCCGTTTGGTAATCTGTGAGGGCCTAAGAACTCAAAGCAACAGGAGGAATGTTTTTGTTTGATTTAGCTCAGTGTTTTTCAAGCCCTGCAAAAGCAGAGACTGTATTAGAAAGAACGAGCATTATTTAGTCTGGAGAAGAGAAAATAAGGGGGTGGGATTTGATAAGTCTTCAAATACATGAAGAGGATGGAGATAGGCTATTCTCTGTGGCCATAAGGAACAGACCTAGAAGCAATGGCCTCAAACTGAAGCAGAGGAAATTTAGGTTAGCAATTAGGAAGAACTCTCTTCCTATAAAAGTGGTTAAACATGGAACTGGTTATGTAGAGAGACTGTGGAATCTTCATCCCTGGAAATGTTAGACAGGGTTAGACAGACAATTGACAGGGATGGTTTAAACAGGGATGATCCTACCTGAAGTGGGAAGGGCTGGAATACATGACCTCCTGAGGTCCCTTACAGCCCTATGATCCTATGATTATCTTTTATTATTTAGACAAGGTTATTTGAGTGAATCTGATATCTTTTATTAGACCAACTTAAATAGTTGGAAACAAATTTTTAGCAAGCTTTCGGGTTTAAAAACCCTTTGTCAGGCTGAGGAAGTCTCTGCAGTTGGTGTGTGCTCTTCCTGGATGGAATCTTTTATTATTCAATATTTATAATAATAGTACTCAGAAGATCTGCATCAAAGCTCTATTCTGGTATACTCTGCACAAGTAGAAATAAAGAGGCAGTCCCTGCCTCAATGAATGTTGTAATATCTTCTTGCATAGGGCAGGGTGAGAGCCTGCTCCTCTGGAACCCTAAGCCTGGACTTGGAAGGAAATGGTGCTACAAAGGTAGCTGGTTTCCTTTCTCTTCTTCCTTGCTTCCAGTACAGAATGGAGAGAAAGATATATAGTTGCTAACAGAAAAAAGAGTTTTCAAAAATAATGAAGACTGACTTATTTCATCCATCCTGTTATATAGTTGATTTTTTTTTTTTTAAAGAAATATTCTGTGAAGTACAATCCTGGATATGTATTAGCCAGTCGTCTCGGAATAAGTGGATATCTTGTCTCCAGGTTTACAGGAAGTATATTTATTGGAAGAGGATCCAGAAAAAAGTATGTATGGCCATTAGAAACTTTTTGTAAACAAAAAATGGAATTATATATGTAAAATTATAATTTACATACTATATAGAATTGATTTCCCCCCTGCCATGTTTTATAATTCTATTTTATACCTCCTCGTACTGTTGAATTCTAATGCCATCTGTGGGGTAAAATTGTATTGATAGTTTATTTATTATAAGCATTTTTTCAAAAAAATCTGCTATACTAATTATTCATAACTTTGCTTGCTAATGGAAAATTATCAGAGCTTTTTTAAGTATGCTGGGTTTTTTCCTCCTGGCCATCAGGCACAAACAGCAAGCGTTGGGGCCCTTCCACCAATTGGTGGTAGGGGGCACACGGGAAAAACTCCAAGATTAAAGAAACTGCCACACTGCACACTTCTGGTGGAAATTCCAGAGATCCCTATTTATAACAATTTCATTTTTGCTGAGGCATGGACTAGAAAATTGTAATCTTGAAATATGTATTTATTTATTTATTTAATCTTTAAAAAAAATGTTGTTTTTAATGTCATCTTGTATTAAAAACAATGCAGTCTCCAGCTGGGGTGTTTGTGTAAAAGACTGTTTTTCTGTTTAAGGTGTTTTGGAATTGAACTTGGGGTTTTTTTAATCCTTCATTTGTAATGTAACCCTCCATTCTTCTTGTACAAGGAAACATCTAAAAGACTATATTCAAAGCATCTTACTGCTTGTTTAATTTGCTAAAAGGAGTGCTGTGGGCCGATTCATGGCACCTCAGCTATTTCAGTTCAAGAAATATGCCTAGTAGTTCTGAGACCGCAGAGTTGACGTTTAAATTTTGTTTATAACGTGTGATTTTATTGAACAGCTACATAAGATTGCAGCTGCATAAAACTTGTGATAAGATAAGGAAACAAGACATGACATTTTTCCCTAAAACTCAAAGCACCCATTTCCTAATACTGCTTACTGAGTTAGTTAACTGAGAGGTAAATGACAGGTAAACAAAGATATTAATTACCAAAACAACTTTTCTTAGCCATGTTATGTCCAAATTTTTTTTCTCTCTGAACATGCTAATCCATTTGTCAACCATTTTGCAGTCCCCATGGAGACCACAAGGCAAACGTAGGGTTGAACCTGAAGTTCAATAAGAAGAATGAAGAGGTGCCTGGCTATACTAAGAAGGTTGGAAATGAATGGATGTATTCTTCTTCAGTAGAGCAACTTCTTGCAGAGTATTTAGAAAGGTAAATGTTGACTAGGGCCATGAATATCACATAAATTGTCAATGTGTTTAATATTTTATGCAGAAGTTTGTTATTGATGAATACTCCAGGAGGAGAATCCCCAAACCCTTGTTCAGTGGAAATAAGTGCATCAAATTGGCATGTTTCAAAGGTTTGACATTTTCAGATCTTTAAAACTGTCCCATAATACACCATGAAACAATAAAGAAAAAACTTGGCGACATTATTAGCAATGTAGGTGGCTGATTCATAAAATTCGATTTGAAAAAGTAGAACTAAACCATTCCTTTTTTGTTTTCAAACAGACAAGAAATTTTTAGTTAAAGTTTAACACATTATATATAGAGGGGTGTGTGTGTGTGTGTGTGTGTGTAAAAAATATATAGAACATAAAAGTATATACATATGCATACAAATAAATATATTGTCCTTATGCTTTTTTTCATAGTGAAGCTATATTTGTCATTGATTTTTTTTGATTTTTTTTTGTGCATTCAACTGCAAAAGGTAGTCTGGAAGGAAGGTTTGGATTAGGACATTTTTTACTTGAGGAGAAATTAAGCTATAATTTAGGAGCAGTGTTTCAAAAACATAGTTATAGTACTAGTAAGATGCCTTGGTGGAGGCATTGAAATTATTTTGATTTTGATTTATAGAAGATTTACATGCACATGCACATGTACACAAACAGAGGTCTCTTGTGCATTGCAGTTTTAACCCACCTTGACATAAAACTATTACATAACTTTTAGGAAGTTCACTTTCTTTTCTTTTTTTATGCTGTTTTATTTTGAAATCACATTGAAAACAGTTTAAATCCTATTGTAATTTTTCCTAATGGAGGAAGAATTCAAATTTCAAACTGAAATGAAATGTAATATCTGGAAGTGATTTTGTGAAGGAGGTAAGTGAATTACATTCTAGTACAAGCCTGTCCAACTTCTAAACGGCCAGAGGGCTGCACCCCCACATTCGCTGCTGCGCAATGCCTCAGGTTTCCTGTATTTCATAGATTTAATAGATTTCATAGGCATTAGGGCTGGAAGGGACCTCGGAAGATCATCAAGTCTAGCCCACCACCTGAAGGGCAGGAAGTCAGCAGGGGTCATAAGATCCCAGCAAGATAAGCATCCAATTTACTCTTGAAGGTGTTCAATGTAGGTGCTTGAACCACCTCTGATGGCAGGCTGTTCCAGACCTTGGGGGCTCAGACAGTAAAGAAATTCTTCCTTATGTCCAGCCTGAAATGGTCTTGCACTAGTGTATAACTGTTTGACCTCATCATCCCTTGGGGCACTCTGGTGAACAAACGTTCCCCGAGATACTGGTGGTCACCCCTGATAAACTTATAGGTGGCCATCAGATCACCCCTGAGCCTACACTTTTCCAGGCTAAAGAGCCCTATGGCTCTCAGCCTGTCGTCACAAGATGTTTTCCTGACCTCTGATCATGCATGTGGCTCTTCTCTGGACTTTCTCAAGCTTCATCCTTTTTGAATTGTGGACCCCAAAACTGGACGCAGTACTCCAGCTGCGGCCTCACCAAGGCCAAGTACAAGGGGAGAATGATGTCCCAGGATTTGCTTGAGAAGCATCTATGAATGCAAGCCAGAATTTTGCTCGCTTTACTAGCCGCAGCATCGCATTGCAGGCTTATATTCATCTTGTGGTCAATGATGACCCCCAAGTCTCTTTCTTCCGTAGTGCTAACCAGCGTAGCACTGCCAAGCCTATAAGGGTGCTGCTGCAGGTTTTTCCTCCCAAGGTGAAGAACCTTGCATTTTTCGATGTTAAACACCATCAGGTTCTCGTCCGCCCATTTGCTGAGCCTGTCCAGGTCAGCCTGGATCACCTGCCTGTCTTCAGGTGTG